AACTACTCTGCATGTTATGTGGCACTGCACGTCATATGCAACAGGTAGACGAAGACTTCTGGGAGGGGATGAAATTCCACCAGACCAGATCATGCGAACTCCCCTCAAGTCTCTTCTGGAATTCATTGAATATACAGGGATAATGAGGGAGTAAACGTACGAGGGCACAATAGGACAGAAATGACCGCGGTGCAAGGCCGAACACCACCTCGGCGGTGAGGAAAGGGTTTTAGTGGATAAACAGCTTAGCGGGAGTCCCACACAAACCAGAGCGCCAGACCACCAGCTCTGGGAGTGCATAAAAGAGCATTTCCCAAACCTCACCGAAAAAAAACACACTGGCTTACTCTACTCTTATTACGACCAAAGAAGAACTAAAGAATATGACTACATTTTGTAATATTGTGTGAAAGTGTGTTTTATCTCCAAATCCGGAAGAACTATCTACAAAACAAGTATTATTTTTGAAGCAAACACATGATGTATCCTCCCCGTAAAACGCCTCTACGGGGAGGATACATCGAGACTGATTCGACAACTGGAAGATCTGCGTAAGGAAGAAATTCCGATAGACCACGGCTTCAAAGCCTGGAAAACATTCCTAAATGTAATCTGACCGGCCGTGAAAGCCTTCATAGTCTGATAAGATAAAAATATAAAATGAAGAGTTTTATTCTATATTACTTTCGTATACCATGTTGTAAGTTTTTCCGTCCGGTGTAAAAATGTGTTAATTTCTGACATTAGACTCGGGAACAGGCTAAAGATAGTTGACCGTTGGCTTTTCTAAGTGAAACCCTGCTGCCTGTAATGTGTGCCGTTGTGCTTTGTATATAGTAATAGCAAAGCTAAGCTTGAAGCTCTACTCTTTTGAATTGAAATAAAAGGTCAGTAGGAATAATTGGATTCCGAGGTCTGGAAGAAGGAGGAGTCTGTTCAGACCTATTTCCCAGTTTTAAATTTGTATTTTCAGTAATTCGTTTGATATCTTTCTAAACAAAAGGCAAAACCTTCCCACCTACGTTTGAAGTCAAGTATGCAGAAAGTTGACGATAGATGACTACAGGATGACTACAGGATGACGAGCAACGATCAGTAACGGCTTTGCCGGTTGCTCCCATTCCAGTAACATTTCTAAATCAATTCATTAAGTATTACTGCTCATTAACAGCCAGCAGAAAAAATAAAGAATCAGCTCATACGTAAACGCTTTTTGTTCATTATCAATTTTACGACTCGATTTTACAACTCACCAAAAAAACAGGAAAATTTCCTGAAAAAAAATTCATAAAAAAAAACAGAAAAATTTTCTAAAAGCAGGACTTTTTTTTGAGAAAACTGCCAAGATTTCCGCATCGCATCGGTTCACTTTCGGAAAAGGCCATTTATTTCGCTCTGCAATGATATAAAAATTTGCGTTTTTGCTCATTTTTCTGCCGAGGAATGAGCAAAAACGGGACCAAAAACATATATTTTTGGCATACAATTAATAATAATACAATATATTAAATTCAAATTTCGCTTTTTGGATCAAACCTGCTCGAAATTCCCGACTCATGTAAAATTAGCATTCTTGCGCAATTTCCTTTGGAGGAATGAGCAAAAACGAGAAAGAAAACATAAAATTTTGGAATAATCTATGCACCACAATTGTCTGAAATTCCAATTTCGTTTTTTGGATCAAAACTACTAGAGTTTCCCGCTTGTGTTGCTATGGCTGGATGGGACTTTAAATTCTCCTTTCAAATATGCGAAAACGAGATCTGTGGATCAAATGGGGATTCAGAATTCTTTATTGTCTACGAGTTGTTACGCTCGCTTAATTGTCCGTAAAATTTGAATTAAATATTATACCGTA